TCACCATACATGTATGTTAACTTGACTGTACACATACACATATATTTTTGGATTAAGTATAAATAATCTACATAGTCCAAAATAAAAAAGAAAACCACACATGAGAAATAATGTTTGACTTTATGATGTACATGGGAGGTAATCTTTGAGTTAATGTTGAATTGGTAGCATTTTATTTTTAATGCACTGTTGTCTGGCTAAATAAAAGAACAACAGGTTTTAGGTGTAAGGTTTTATGTTTATGCAAGAGATTCATTATTTTTTCATTTTGTTTTTTCAGCTGACTGGTATCTGACCTCTACAAATGGTATGGGAAAGCAAGGTAAATGATGGGTGTGTCTTGGGCTCATATTTAATAAAGAATTTAAGAAAATTGTAAGTGAGCAAATCTCTCCATAGCAGCTAGGGACACTGCTGTTCTAAGAAGGGCATGAGTGTACACACTCCCTCACACTCCCACAAACGCCTCTCACTTTCCTAAAAAGTTCCTTGAAGGCAATTTACAAAAATTATTCAAAGGCAATAGTCAAGAGGAAGAAGGTCTGAAGTTGGCTGGCATTTGCATTTGTCAAATCTCACGGCCATGTTTTTTATATCTAAATGTTTCTTTTTCTAGGTTTCCCACCTTCTTGATATCATATTAATTACTGGAGGTGCGATAAAGAGAAAGAGGGTAAGATAGCAAACATTTATTTCTGATAGTCTCAGAGGAACTTTCTACAGAAGGTATTCTAGCTGCGTTCCTAGGAACAGGCCTGTCAATTTTCTGGACGTGGTACTTTGATCTGAGTTCTCTACAAAGTTCAAATTTAACTCCAGGGGTGGAGAAAGAAGATTCTGAAGCCTGCATAGAGGAACTATTTTTTCTTATTATTTTTTCCCCCACAGATTTGGAATAATCTTCTTTAAAGTAGACTCCTGAGAGATGGCTATTGCTGGATAGGAAACAGCTACTCCTATTCCTGACTGTTAGCTTCAGCTATTGACTGGGGCTGTTTCAGTGTCTTTCCTGTGGCTACGACAGACTAGCTGCATGGGAGCTCCTGGACCAGCAGCCACGTGGCTCATCATGATTTCTCTAAGTGACTGTAATGGATCCATCTAGTATGTTATTTGTCTACTCTTCCTCATGGTACAGAATTTGAACAAATGTGATACCAGAAGAGGGTATTTTTCAGGAAAATAAAGAAAAGATCATAATGAGCCAAATCCACAGCTACTGGCCCAGGATATGTAATTAATGGATATAGTAAGGACAGGTTTATTTAGCCCAAACTGAAAGAAAATAGAGGAGAGGGGAGAGGGAAGAGATTGAGAGAGAGAGAGAGAGAGAGAGAGAGAGAGAGAGAGAGAGAGAGAGAGAAGGAAAGGTGGAGGCAGAGGGAGGGGAGAGGGCAGGAGAAGACCGATATCTTCAGTAACGTTCTAGACAGATGCTCAGAAACTCATTTGTTAATCTCTCCACTGCAACTTCCCATGGCATGCTTTATTTTTCCTCTTAAAAATTTAGACATGGCTCCTCTTTTATGTGTTAAGGCTAAGAGACTTAACAGGAAGTTAAGTCAAATAAAGGTTTAAATTAATGTGTTTAATAAATGTAGCATCTGACCAATAATCTTACACCTAGTCTACTTTTTGTAGGGTTATAATTCAGAGATCAAAGCAATATAGAAAACAAATGGATTTAAAAATTTTAGTAAATTATTCTGTAATTATTTTCACATAAGTGCAGAAGTGATTATTCTGTATAAATGACTATTCTGTATATTCTGTATAGTATAAATGATATGCAGAGAATAGTTTTTAGCCAGGCTGTGTGTGTATGTTATATGTCTGGGTTTCTTTGCTCTCTTTATGAGACAGATCCACTAATCTGAGAAAACTTCTGAGTATTCTTTGTAATAATATAAGATACTTTAGAATAGCTCTACTGCAATAAAATTCTAAGAAGAAAAGGTATCAATGGAAGGACTTCTGCCATCACCTAAGTTTCTTAAGTTTTTCCTCCTTTTCACTTTGGTGATCTGCCAATTCTGTTTTCGTCTCATTATCTTAAGTAAGTGTCAAGAAAAGAAGGTTCTATGAATCAGGACAAGAGTTTGGCAGAGACAGTGGTAGAAAGGTTATTTCAAAATATTTGAAACTACCATAAGCATCATTCCACATTCAACTGACACCCGACGCTTAAGCTCTGAAATGGACAGGGCGTCCTAATACACATTCGTCCCCTTCATTGTTTCACATTTACCTTACACATTAGGATTCATATCAAGGAGCTTTTTCTTCTATTTTAGACTGTATACTTTATGAACTGAGCAGATTTTGACTTTTGTGTGATGAAACAATTACTTTTCCCTAACTCATCCTTTTTAACCAATTCCTACCTGCCTCTCATCATAAATCACTGAGGTCATGCATTTAAAAAAATCTACTTCAAAAAGAGGGTCAAAGAAGTTTCTCGAATTGGCCACTTAATTTAAAATGTGTAGCCATCAATTACCTTTGGTTGCTACTTTTCTCCTAAGAGCAGAAAGAAATGACTCCAAAGGCTTGACTTTCTTTGCTTGGGTTTAATATCCATGGATCTTGCTATCTCCTTTTTAGAGGAATTTGGTCCTTTATTCTCTCACAATAGAAAAGGCAGTGACACCTGGGGTACATATGTTTTTCCAAGTCACTTGAAACTCTTTCACTTGGGAAACAGACCTATAAAAAACTCTGGGTCTGGTTAATTTAATATAGATTATTTTAAATAGGAGAAGTAATGGCAATAGAACACCTTTTCTTTTGGGGAAGAGATGGAGAGATTAATGATGTAAGAAGATACGTTTGATTTTTAAGATTTCACTGACTATATAGCAGTATCCTTATTGTTTTCACTCAAACTATGAAAGGGAGAATGTGTAATAAAACTGCACGATTTGACAGATTTAGACAGCTGGCTCCCTCACAAGAAGTTCACATTTTGTTAATGTCACCCACATTGAATAAGGGATGATTAGATGGTAAGGTCCATTTACAAAAATGGTTGTCAGGACATTTTTTTTTAATTGTAAAACTTTCTGTGATGGAATTCAGTAAAAGGGCTATGAAGAGAAAGCAATGGAGACAAAAGATTGCTATTAACCTACAGATGCAGGCTACTGCATGGTTCATTGCAAGATTTGTCACACTGTTGGGCCAATGAAGTGTTAGTGAGACTAGAAGGGACCACCCCTTTTCTGGGGTAAGAGGGCAATTTGGTCTCCATGCTCATTTAATCCTGAGACTTCTTTGAATAGACTGCCAATTGAATCTAAATTGTGCAAAATTATGCATGCACTTTTTAATGCAGGCTATTGTTCCCGAAGCACTGAACCAAGATTTCTCAACCCATTTCCATTTGGCATGAGGTCACTTGAAACTTAAGTAATCATATATGGAAGACAAGAGCAGTGTACTTAACCAATCTTTCTACATTGTGGTTTCTATATAAATGTTCACTGTGCTTTAATTGTAAGCATCTCACTTAGAAACAACAGAGAAGTCCTAGCTATGAAATGTTTTTAAAAAATTTAATTGAGGCTCATATTCCTAAAGGTAAGAAGCAGGTTTGGAAAGTCAGCCAAAGCTGCATAATCTATACTTCCACAATTTAGATTCCAGAGGAGTGAATGTTTATAGTAGGACAGCTACAGTGGGGTATGTGCTCATCACGGGTGGACGTGTTTTTTCAGTAGTGCATAGAGGCCTTATAATTTTTTTAGAATCCAAATGGGAAGAGGTGGCCTGGAAGGCCATTAAGAAAACGGTGTACCAGGCTTTCTGCAGTCTTGTTGGAACAGGTCATTTCTTTTAAAAACCTGAACAGAACATTTACAGAAAATTTATTGATATATTAGCCAGAGAGTACTTTCATTGAGTTCTAAAGGAGCATATACATGAAAATTCATATTTGGAAAGAATTATTATATGAAAAATTTGTACAAGTGACAGCTTACACAGCCCAGATTTGATATAAATGAGTGAGCTCTCTTCCAGTGAGGTTCGATTCAGTGTGGAATCTGTAACATTCTAATCACATATACTCTGACAGTCCTGCTATGGTGAGAGGCACTTTACAAATGTTTAATGCTGCAATTTTATAAGGATTGGCTGTTTTCTTGCTTTTTCATCCGTCGTTAATGATTACATGTTGGCAAAGGATACATTGTTAGATTAGATCCACAGCACATTAAAGACTGCTTTCTCATTCCCCTTCTCTCCAATTAAGTTGGTGAAAAATGTAACTTTAGTATTTTACAGGACAGGGTAAAGGTGTTTCATCTAGGTGATGTCTATATTATAAAAATAAAATAAAAAATATAAATATGTAACACAAACCCAGTGCCTATTGTTAAATAAAATATACAATAAGAGCAGACCTTTTAGGAAGTTTTGATTTAAAAATAGGCTGTTATGATTTCATTATAAAACATTTGAAAACAATCTTGAGATTAAGCCAAAGTAACCAGATTGCTTTGCCAAATAAAAAGGTAAGTGGGTAGGTATCATTCTGCAAGGGGATACATTGATAAAAACGAAGATTACAATTTTTTATCAAGTTGTTCATTTAGAAATTCATGAGGGAGTTTTGAAACATTCTCTCATATTATAGTCTTTTAATATAAAAATATTGCCATTTTTTATTAGATCCATCAGATTGCACAGTGATGTTTCAAAACCTCATTAAAGTTGACTTCAGTAATTACAGACAGAAAATTCCTGGGAAGTCAAATACTCTCTTATGGTGACATAAAAATTCCATTATCAATTTACAATGGAATTTCTGTGTCAATTACTCCACACAAGGAAGTATATATTTTAAAAACCCATCTGTTATGCAACCACGTGGACAGGGGTTGTGAGTGTGGGTGTGTGCGTGCATGTGTGAACAAACGTGCAACATACACACAGAGGATCTGCACATTTCTGCAAATTATTTTTAAATTAATAAAAGAAAATGAAATCACAGGAGTGTGTAGCAGGATAGCAGTCTTTCTTTTTAATGACAGGATGAAAAATAAATGCCCACTGGAAAAGAATATTCAAACAGTCCCAGAAACTATACAATGTAACTTGTTAGATCCAGTAAGTAAGATGTCATGTCAATGATCTGATCAAGAATACCTGCCCTGGCCACTCTGCGGATGTTTCTGTCCACTTGTTCACACTGAGGACCAAGATATCCTTTCTTACAGAGGCACTTGTTGGGTCTAACACAGACACCTCCATGACGACACGCTGGCTCACATTTTGCTGGAAAGGGGAAAAAATAAAGAGTAATAACATGGCTCTTATTCTGTAAGTTAGAAACAGTGCTGATCAGGAGGCCAATAAATATCTGATGAATAAGGGAAGGCGAGGAAAGAAGAAGGAATGATTTGAAAGACAGACGTGTAAGTAAGAAGGAAGGTTTCTCAGATCCATGGTAATTTGGAGACTAGAACTCAAGACAATGGGAGACATTTCTAGAGAAGCAGAGATCCTGAGAAACAATTTCAGTCCTCCACAGAACTGACTTCATTTAACACAAAGATTTCATCTTTTTCAGATCTCTGCTCCCCAGAGGCCTGCTGGGAGGCCACTGGCTGGAGCATCTCCAAAGCAACACAAAGGTGAGGTCAGTTTTGGATTTTGGCTCCCTCAAACTCCTTCCCTCTGCTTGCAGAGGGCTTAGGGCACGTGCTTTGCTCCCTGATCACACCTTAAAGCCCACTTCTGGAGTAAGAGCAGTTGGCCAAGGAAGGACGTGCTAAGCAATCTTTTTAGGGTTACTATACAGCACAACATTTCCTCATTAAACAATGGTTACTCCTGCAATATAGGTGACTTACTCCTAAAATAAGATGCAGACATACATTTGGCATATAAATATTGTCATTTACTGATAAGATAAATCTGGGGCGTGCAGCTATTATAGACAGATTCAAATTCCTTGAATACATTTCTCTATACTTTGGCCAGGTCATTTTCACCTTTCTGAACACATTATTCAAAATCCAGAGGTCTGCAGTTGACACATGGAAAAGAAAAAAGAAAATAAAGACAATTTCTCTTTAAATGTTTGAGAGATGAGTAAACCATGTGCATATACAAATCAAATTCCTGCTTGGGACAAAAATATCCTGAATAGATAACTTTAAAAAAGTTTTTTTGTTTTTCTTTTTTTAAAAAAATATGTTCTTTTTAGATCTTAATTTGTGTGTGTGTGTGTGTGTGTGTGTGTGTGTGTGTGTGTGTAGATGTACCAGGGATTGAACTGAGGGGAACTTAACCACTCAGCCACTTCCCCAACCCTATTTTTTTGTAATTTTTATTTAGAGACAGAGTCTCACTGAGTTGCTTAGTGCCTCAATTTTGCTGAGGTTGGCTTTGAACTCATAATCCTCCTACCTCAGCTTCCCAAGCCACTGGGATTATAGGTGTGTGCCACTGTGCCCAGCCTAATCCTAAATTTTTTTATTAGTGCATTTGACCATACAAAATAATGGGTTTCATTGTAGTATATATATACTACAATGAAATATATATATATGTGTATATATATAAATACACACACACACACACACACACATATATATATATCATACTTTGATCATATTCGTCATCCCCCCCCAGCTTTTCTCTAATAGTCTCCCTGTGACAACTTTCATGTCAGATTCTATATCCGAGGGAAAATATCTAAAATTTGTCTTTCAGAGTCTGTCTGATTTCACTTAACCATATGATTTCCATTTTCATCCATTTTCCTACAAGTGATATGATTTCATCCTTCCTTACAGCTGAATAATGGGGAAAAACATGAAATCATTTCCTCTAAAACCTGTTTTCTTTATCAGCCTTCCGAGTTGCTGGGATTACAGGGGTGAACCATCCTGCCCGCATGTCATTGGTATTGTGATGGAGATTGCATTGAATGTGTACATGGCTTTCAGCAATGTTGCCATTTTAACAATATTAATTCTGCTGATCCATGGAAATGGGAGGTGTTTCCATTTTCTAGTGTCTTCTTTAATTTCTTTCTTCAGTGTTCCATAATTTTCATTGAATAGGTCTTTTACCCCTTGGTTAGATTTATTCATAGGCATCTTACTATTTTTAAAGCTATGGTGAATGGAATGATTTCTTTTTCAGCAGGTTTGTTATGAATTAGTGTATAGGAAAGTTGCTAATCCTTATATTGATTTTGTATCCTGCTAATTTGCTAATTTTATGGGCTCTAGGAGTCTTCTGGTGGAAACTTAGGGTCCTCTAAGCCTAGGATCATCTCTTCTGTAATAGGAATAATCCGATGACTCCTTTTCCTATTTCTATACCTTTTTACTGCTTTCTCTTGCCTAATTGCTCCAGCTAAACTTTCAAGGACTATACTGAATAGGGGTGTTGAGTGAGTTAACTTCTTTGTCTCAGTCATGACTTTAGAGGAAATGATTTCATGTTTTTCCCCATTAAATATAATGTTGGCTTTAAGTTTGCCATATATAGCCTTTATTGTGTTGAGGTAAGATCCTTCTATATCTTTTTTCTTCAGGGATTTTATCATGAAACCATGTTGAATTTTGTAAAAGGCTTTTTCTGCATCTATTGGCATGATCATGTGATTCTTACCTGTGATTCTGTTTATGTGGTATTATTACGTTTATTGATTTGTTTATATTGAACTATCCTTCCATCTCTGGGATGAAACCATGGTGTATGATCTTTTCGATGTGCTGCTGAATTCAGTTTGAAAGTATTTTATTCAGGATTTTTGCATCTATGCTTATCAGGGATATTAGTTGCTAATTTTCTTCCCTCCCTCCCTCACTCCCTTCCCTCCTTCCTTCCTTCCTGCCTTCCTTTTATTTCTGTTGTTTCCTTATCTTGTTTTGGTATTAGAAGGCTACTGCCTTGGGAGTAGGAGTTTGGAAACATTCTTTTCCTTTCTATTTCATGGAATAGTTTGAAGAGCATTGGGGTTAGTTCTTCTTTAAAGGCCTTGTAAAATTAAGCAGTGAATTCATACAGTTCTAGCTTCTCTTTGTTGGGAGACTTTTTTTACTGCTTCAGTCTCATTGCTTGTTATTGATCTATTTAGGTTTTTCATAACCTCTTGGTATCAATTTTCGTAGATAATAGCTATCTAGAAATTTATCCATTTCTTCTAGATTTTATAATTTATTGGAATATAAGTCTTCAAAAGAGTCCTCAAGGATCCTCTGGATTTCAGTGATATCTGTTGTAAACATCCCCATTTTCATCTTTAATTTTGTTAATTAGGATCTTCTCTTTCTTTTTGGTTGGTTTGGCTAAGGATTTACTGATCTTATTTATCTTTTCAAAGAACCAATTCTTTGTTTCATTTATCCTTTGTATAGTTCTTTTGGTCTAATTTCACTTAGTTCAGCTCTGATTTTTTTTTTAATTTTGTTTGTTCTTTTTAGTTAAATGACAGTAGAATGCATTTTGATGTAATATACATATGTGGAGTATAACTTCTGATTTTTATTATTACTTTCCTTCTATTGATTTTGGATTTGGTTTGTTCTTGATCTTCTAAAACCTTGAGATACATATTTAGGTTATTTGAGATCTTGTTTTGATTTTTTAATGTAGGCAGTCATAGTTATAAGCTTCTCTCATAGAACTGCCTTTTAAATATTCCACAGATTCAGGGTATATTGTGTTTCCATCTCCATTTGAGTCTAGGAATTTTTACATTTCCTCCCTGATATCTTCAATAACCCACTGGTCATAAAAAAAGTGTATTGTTCAATCTTCATATGTTTGTATAGTTTCTGTGGTTTCTTTTGCTGTTGATTTCTAGTTTTATTACATTATGACTAAATAAAGTTCCATAAGCTGCTAAAAGAATGTAAGAATGTGTCTTCTTCTGTTGATTGATGTTGTTTTTTTTTTTTTTGTCTAAATGACCTATTTGTGAAAATGGGATATTGCAGTCATCTACTATTATTGTATTGGGTCCTTCTCTGTCCTTTTATGCTTGGTAGTGTTCATTTTATAAAATAGGGTTTACTGATGTTTGCTGCATCTATATTTACAGTAATTACATATTCTTGGTGGATTGCTCCCTTCAGCACAATGTACTGGTCTTCTTTGTCTCTTCTGGTTTGAAGTCTGCTTTGCTGGGTATGAGCATAGCTACTCCTGCTTGCTTTCAGACTCCATTTGCATGGAATATTTTTATCCCATTCTTTCATTTTCCATCTGTGTATGTCGTTAATGGTAAGGTATGTTTTGGGCAGGTAGAACAAAACAAAACAGTTGTCTTGTATTCACCATTCTTTGTCTTTTAATAGAAGAATTGAGGCCATTTACATTCAGAGTTATTATTAAAACTTGTATTAATTCTTGTCATTTTATTATTTTTCTAATGTTTGAGTCTTTCCTGTATCTCATATGCTTATCTACTCTTCTAGTGAGATTTATTCTTTCCTGTGCTCTTGTGGTTGTACTTATCTTCCTCTTCTGTTTGTGAGATTCCTTTAAATATCCTCTGCAATTCTGGGTTAGTGATCATAAATGCCTTTAGTTTATTCTTATCTTGGAAGTTTTTTATTTCTTCCTCCATTCTGAAGGGTAGGTTTGCTGGATATAGTAACCTGGACTGGCAATAATTTTCTTTCACTTAAAAAAACAAAATTCCATGTCCTCCTGGCCTTTAGAGTTTCTGTTGAGAAACCTGCTGTTATTCTGGTGGGTTTGGTTTTAAAAGTGACTTGTTGCTTCTCTCCTACAATTTCATTTTAATATTCTCTCTTTGTTCTGAATTTTTGGCATTTTCACTGCAATATGTTATGGAGAGGTTCTTTTTTGATCATATCTATTTAGAGTTCTAAGTACTGCCAATACTCAAGTATCCATCTAAATACTCAAGTATCCATCTCATCCTCAGAATTTGGGAAATTTTCTGCTATTATTTCACGGAATAGGTTTTCTATGCCATAAGCTGGTATCTGGTACCTCTATTCTTTTCTGAAGACCTGAGAGTCTTAAGTGAGTTGTCCCAGAGATCTGCATTTTTTGTTTATAATTACTTATTTTTTTTCTTTACAACTGTCTGAATCTTCCAATTCATTCGCCTTTTCTTCAAGCCTTGAAATTCTGTCTTCTGCTTGCTCTAGTGTATTGGTTGGGCTTCCACTGATTTTTTTTTAATTTGGCTTATTAAGATTTCATTTCTAAGATTTATGTTTAGTTCTTTTCAAAATTTCTATCTCTTCATTGAATTTTTCAACTGTATCTTATAGTGTCTGCATTAACTCAAATAATTATTTTCTGTGTTATTTTGGAATTTATTGATCTTGTTTTAAACCATTCTTTCTATTATTTATCTAGCATTTCATCCTCTTCAATGTCTTTGGAGTCAGTTGGTACTGAGTTATGAACTTTAGGAGGTGTCATGTTGCCATGTTCTTTCATATTTCTTGTATTTCTATGTTAAGATTTGTTTATCTGTTGGGTTGGATTTCTCTTCCACTTTTATGTGAAGTCTTTTTAGGTCACAGTCTTCTCTCTCTCTTTTTTTAAAATATTTTTTTAGTTGACTTAGTTGAACACAATACCTTTATTTTAATGTGGTGCTAAGGATTGAACTCAGGGCCTTGCACATGGTAGGTAAGCGCTCTACTGCTGAACCACAACCCCAGCCCCCATAGTCTTCTCTTGATGATGGGTCTTGGTATAATGGATTGTTGTGAAGTGTTGGATATATTTCTATATGGGTTTCATAGTACAGTTTCTTTGATAATACTTTGGTGGTAACTAGTCCACTTTGACGCGATATGTACTGTGTGTAAGCCTGAGGATCCTTCTTTCTCTGTAAGTCTCACAAGAATGGGATCTTTTTGTAGATCAAGCAATTGTGTTGTAGACAGTGGAGGTTATGTTGACACCCTCTGTGATTGCTCCTCTGATCTTTTCAACACTGTTTATCCAAAAAGGACATGGGGCAATCTATGCTGAAGCCCCTCAAAGGTGTGGTATCCACAGCCTTTGAGTTATTTCTCTCTGCTATTGCTTAGGGGTAAATGTCCAGAAATGGGTCTTCAGGGCCACTTGGTACCTACTTGGGGCCAGAGATACCTACTTGGGGCCAGAGGTTGACTGGGGATTTTTATCTTCCTTCTTTTCTTTTCTTTCTTTCTTTTTTTTTTTGTTGCTGGGGATTGAACCGAGGGCCTTGTGCATGCAAGACAAGCACACTACCAACTGAGCTATATCCCAAGTCCTTTGTCTTCTTTCTGTATGATTACTTTTATAAAATAATTTTGACCTATCTTACACTTTAAAACTAAATAGTGGCAAGATTAAAATTCTTCACTGAAATAAAACTTCATATTGACTTAAAGAATTCTTATATTCATTTATATCACATATTATTTCAAAATAATTTGTTCACCCTTAGTTAAAACATGTTACTAGAAGGTACTCAATAAATATCTATTAACTGAATACTTGAGGTGACATAAGAAATTAGACAAAATGTAAAGTAAAAATTATAACACAATGAATTCTATGTAAAAGAAATGGAATTAGTACTGTCAGTACTGTCAATCAAAGGAAGCTGAAGGATGATAGATTATCAGATATATGAATATTATTATACTTGGACACTGATTCTACAAAAAGGGAGACAGAGTGGGTCAATAAAATGAAAGCACTCTTCTTAGATAATGGAATTATGCAATTTCTATTGAGTTTTAATTAGGAGAGTTCTTTCCTAGGTATGCAATCATAGTACTAATCAATCACATAATATTATTTATGTTGCAAATTACTTTGGCAATTTAAGCTTAAAATTTATATTGTATGTGTAGCTTTAAATATTGGCTATTTTTGTTAGACAATATATTAAATAGACAAGTTATGGTTATACTTTTGAAACAAATACATCTTTAGAAAGCACAATAAAGAGCACATATGTATAAGAATACTATTAAATATTATTTTGGGGCTTTGCTTCTCATCAGCAAGACGTACTTTTATAGCAGAGGTCAAAATCTTTTCTAAGTAATATGTATATGCTGGTTGTCGAATATACATTTTTAACATCTATATCTTAAACTCTACATTTTTTAATTTATCCAATTTTCCTACTTCACGCCAAGTAGAACTTAAACTTTGCACAAAATTGAGGAAATCTTATGTTAAAGGATAGAATAACCCTGAATAAATCTCCCTTGCTTTTTCTGAGCAGCTGCACACCTAGTCAATGGTTCCCAAGGGAGTGGCAAACAGAATTAAAAATCTCATAATATGCCCCCAGATAATTGCGTTTTCCCTTTTTATTTAGAAACACTCACTGAAAAACCCTGTTTCGAGTGTGGTGTGGCAAGAAAGTGAGCAGTAAAGCCAGGGAGGGCATTTATGGGGTGTCTGGAAAATGCTAGCACATGGGTAGGGCTCGCGTGGAGCTCAGGACCCAAGGCTGAGCACCAGTAGAGATGACCTGGTTGGGCTGTTTTCATTTTTTTTTACTTTTTGAAGGGACTTCAGTCACTTAAAGTTTTCTCATGTTTGTAATGAGCTTACCCACGTGAATAGTTTACATTACGGAAATGGAAAAGATTTCATGTATAAGTTCAGAAGCCAGTAGACATTCACAGTATTGTATTCTGAACCCTAGATGGTTCTAGAAGGAATAGCTAATGCTGAGTTCTTGAGAACCTAAGAATAATCCCATTCCCCAGTCTTTCTTATGACAACAAAAATACTAACCGATTCTGCAAAAGTCCCCCTCCCAGCCTGGACTGCAGCAGCAGGTCCCTGTGGGGGTGCAGTAGCCGTTGCGACAGAGCCGGGAGCACTCTGAGTTCAGGGTCTGCGCAGGTTGTATGGAGGCTCTGCATTCCGCGGGCATTACAGGTCTGTACAAAAGACAAGAGTTGACGTTGTATTTTGGTTGAAAATCAGTATTGGAGTGAAATCTAATGGTTTTTGTAGTTTAGTCTACATAGCACGTAAGACCTTTCTTTTTTAAGTGACTCAGTCAACCTGCAACTTTGGAAGAATGGAAAAAATACATACCAGTGAGGAAACAAAATAATCAGTCCCGAACCCAAGTGAACATATTGAACATTCTAGAAACTTTATCACAATCAATTCATTGATGAAAATGTAAATTTAATTATAACGGCATTTTATATTTGGTAGCTAGAATTTCTAGTGATTGCAATTTGAAAAATAAAATGTATTTATATTTTTAAACTTTTCCACCCAGATCTAAAAAAGTTTAAGGATAGTACCTGAGATATTATATTTAGGGAGAGTACAGTTTCTCTTGCTTTGGTCTGCTCAGCAATATTACAGGGCTGTAGGCATTCATCAAAATGAACACTTGCAGCCTAAATAGTTTAGGAATCTATATTTGGTTTCACTTTACATTTCTTCTGAGATTATTTTTTTTGAAAGGTTGCCATAATATTTATGTATGTGTGTATTTGTATTGTTGGGTCAAAGTTCAAACTCTGCAACGCAAAAGGCCTGCATATAAAATGGAGATTTTTTTTATGTACATATGCACTGAAATCAAATTATTTTATTTTAATATGTGTGAAATAATTAGATTTTATCCTGTTATGGAGAAAATGGAAACATCTTATTTGCCATGTAAAAAGTCATGGTTTTAGTTTTCATTGTTCTACAACTAACTGCCATTATTTATAGAGGAAACCAAGAGCTTCCAAAAGATTTTCATGGTTCCTCTGTTTTTGTAACGTTCTTACTCAGTCTGAGTCAGGCTGGCCTCTGGGTCACAACTGCTCATTACCTAACCTTGGGGGAAAACGTGGCACTTTCAATGGTACTGAGGGCCCGAGTGTGGTCTGCAGGCTCTTTCAGTTCAGGCTGTAAAGGAATGTCATCACCATCAAGTCACTGCATTAGGGTGGCCAAAGCAGGTCCTTTAAAAGACTTATTTTCTTTTAGTGGTGCTAAGGATCAACCCAAGGCCTCCTGCATAGTAGGCAAGTGTTTTGCCACTGAGCAATACCCCCAATCCAGCTGGGGTCCTTAAGAACCAAACAAAGAAGGTGATCATTATAGATCAGATCACCACAAGAGGTAAATTACACAGCTTCTTGAGATAAGCAAATAATTAAGCCCTGGAGAGTGTTTTCTTGAAACTGGTTACCTTGTTATGTCCCTATAGCAATGGAAACAGTGATAATAATTTGGGACTTGACCTCAGGCTTTTTCTACAATGACTCAAAACCATATATATTAAAAGCCAAAATACAAAACATGTAGAGCAACGTCTCTAGTTCCTCTTCCCATTAAAGTTCTACTCTGTTGAAGTCCTGGGTTTGCAACCAACATAGCAATTCTGAAAACTCTCATGAATCTAGTCAGCCTCTTATTTAAATCTGGAAATGGTCAATTCACATGAAAGGACCTTAAGGAGTTCCATAAACAGAACATATTTCCATTCAGAAAGCATTCAATGTTTTCCGTGTTTCCCCAAGGAGTCTTTTTGGAAGAAAGGAGGGACTGGGATAGGGAAGAGAAAATGTTAAACAGTTATACCAAGAAAAGTAAGGACATTATCTTCCCTGCCTTCTTGTTGTTGTTAAGGACCCCATATTGGCTCTATTTCTGTCCCATAAAATTCTTATTTCGCTTGTGAGATGATGTGGCATTTCTGGCCACCCGAAAGGCAATTTTTCAGATCTTTGAATCCCAGGCTAGGATCATTTATGACGTGGCATTCAGTAAATGGGGACTGTTCTAATCTTACCAGTAACTGATAGTATACAACTCTGTGTCTCTAATTTCTATTCATTATCACTTGTTCACTTTACTTATGACTCATTTAAGAAAAGATAAGCCGGAAGTAGAGTTACTAACAAAGATATTACAAGTTGTGGGTGACGCAAGATTTTCAGGCACACAGCTTACACACCGTGCACAAGATAGTTTAGACCTGAGGAGATAACTCTGAAGAGAAGACATACTTTAGATAAGGAATGTAGGCATATTCAGTATAACAGCAGTAACTAGAGGTGAAGTGTCCAGGCGACACTGATTATTGTGCAGAGGGGAGATGAATGAGAACATGATAGGAGAGTTCTTTAGGGGAGAGCAGTTCTTTAGTTCTTTAGGGCAGAGCAGGGGAGGGTAGAGTATATCACCCTTATTGGCCTACTGACCAAACATTCACCTACGTGGAAACTCAGATTATGGAGGGAATTCTGAATTATTTTTTTCTCAAGATTTATTAAATGCCTATCTGCACATACAGCTGTTTCATACTTGGGCTTCCTTATTTCCAGTTGTGTAAGACTGGAGGGCTGTCATGTCTAAACATTTGAATTCCCTCAAGGTGTTTTATTTTTATTTATTTTATTTTTTGCATTACAATTCTTAATATACCTTTACACCTCAATTTATCATATCTCTGATTGTATATAAGGTATGTTGACATTAAATTCACGTCTTCATACATGTATTTTGTATAAGGATGAGGGTCTCCCCTTCCACCATCCTTGCTATTCCCCTTCTCCCTCCCTTTCCCTCCCACCCCTCTTCCCTATCTAGAGGTAATCTTCCTCCCTTGCTCTCCCTCCCTACCCCATTCTGAGCCCCCCCCCCCTTATATCAGAGAAGACATTCGGCATTTGTTTTTTTTTTGGGGGGGATTGGCTAACTTCACTTAGTTTTAATGTAAATACCTGAGAAAGTTATCTTCTTTTTCTTTTATAAAGTTGGTAACTAACATTCCTCATTTAGCATGTTAAATAACTCTTCTCCCTTTTTTTTAAGACTGTTATTATACTGGGGCTCCCTTAGCATGAAATTTACATGACAGATTTCCCATCTCTTAAAGAAGTCTTTGTCTTATAAGGAATGAATTATTCTATCTCCCTTTCCCCTTCTCCCTTGAAGGGAAAGTCTTCTGTGGGAGGAGTTATATACTCCATTGTCTTCAGCTCCTGTGCTCTTCATGGGGATAAGACATCACAGGGCCTGTATCCTCATGGAGACATGGAGGGGAAGATGGATGGGTAGTCGCAGAAGCTTGCTGTAGTGTGATCTTCGTTTTATTAACAGGTGCACACAAAGTCTCATGGGAATACAGATGAGGGTGGAATTGTTTTAGGATAGGGAGGAAAATGCCATCTATCTATAGTTTCAAATTGTAAGTAGTGGAAGAAGACACACCACTTTGGTGGTTGTATATAGAGAGATGACACTAGAGTTAGGAAAATACTGTATAGATGGTCAATAAATATTTATTAAATTGAATGTTTATAGTAGTAACTTTCTCAAATAAACTCTGTGAGAATAAATATTTCCTTTCTTCTCCTCATTTCCCCAGGACCAAGAAGAATATGTAGCCCATGGAAAATGCTTCATAAAAATCTATTGAAGGAATGAATAAAATTAATAAGAATATGAAATTTTAAAAGGGTATTTGTTTCTTGTTTATGCTATTAGGTATTAGGAATATATCAACAATTTAGAAGGATATCATTAAAATCTAATCGCTAGACTTTTGTATCATAAACCTAATACTAAAAACATTTGCTGTCTTTCTAGTGCCTAAATTAACTCAATTCTTATAAAATTCTTCTAAGACATAGCTAAATTTTAAACAATGCATTTTTATCCTAGTTATGATCCTAGTTAGTAAACAAAAGGTCAAAAAAATCAGGGTATGCTTGGCCTTAAGAGATAGGATTGTTTTCTAGACGAGAATTAAAGTCAATGCATTTACATTCATTTTTCATATTTGGCAAAGTCTGACAAAGACTGGTGACCCCCACCACTTCTCTCTACACAATGTTTGTTATGGTGACAGTCTCTCTTCCACTAAGAACATGCCCCCTTTACGTAAAATGAGGAGGTAAGAGAATGCAGCAGTTCAGGGGGATTTTGTTCCTAGAATCAGACCATCTTAAATATACATAGATACTACATGTTCAGACCTAATGGGATCGAATCAAAAATCTCCAGTATGAATCTGTGACAGATTAACTCATTTTCATCCTTATTTTTATTAGATTGGAAAATTGGATGTTTAGTTTATATTTAATAAGAATCATTTAAATAGTTGTTCTTTTAAGCAATTACTTTCTAAGCCTTTGGACTCTTAGCTCTCCTGAATAGAATCAGAAATAGGTTTCGAAATAGAAACTTAGCCAAGAGGATGTTTAGGTTTGCAGTAAAGAAAATACTGAGCCCATTTGTTGACAGCTATCTCCACAGCCCTGGAACTTAATTTAAATCAGAAAAACATATTTCCTAATCTCACATGACGAATAATGAAACACTGAGGGCCTGGTGCAGAAAACAGCCCAACATTCCTTAATATATAAAGCATTGTTTTCAGAAATTGAAGACAGTTTTTTAGAAACCTACTTTGGCTGGCTCTGTGCAGTGGTGCAAAGGTTTGGATACTTTCTTGAAGCAGAGAAGTTGGGATGCTTGAGTAATTTAAAACACACATGGTATGTGATGACTTTTGTGAACAGGAAAGGCCAACGGTGAATGTCCCTGGGTCGTGGGATTATGGGTGGTTTTCATTGAATGACATTTAATCAATGGACAAGTAAATCAAGGGATGCAAAGTCCTTTGTGAATGTGTGTGGAAGAGCTGGGATTCATCCCATCTGAGTAGGCTGGCCCCTCAGAGTGAGCATGCAAAAATCTATTTTGTCTTTCACAAAAAGGAAAAGGGGTTCATTCTGAGATTTTTGTTAGGTGTCCAGATTTTAAATTCATTCTGTTGTAAAACAAGATCTATAGATTATGCATAATATGCTTTCATAAATTCTGATTCGTTGGAGGTTTTAGGAGATGTAATAATTCTACAGCCTCTCTTAGCAATCTCTAGAGGTGGGAGTTGGGGGGAAACTTGATGTAAGAA